TGGTGAGAAACTCAAAACCCAAGAACAAGTTACTGACCTTCATTAAAAGTGTGTCATTGTAAATTATGCAATGATACAGTTTTAATTTCAGTCTGACATGTGCCAGCTGAACAGTATATTACTGGAAATTGGCAATACACCACTGACCACCCTGTAGTTGATAAAAGGTAGTGATGCTGGCTGACTTCTCCCAGTTCCCTTGTGAGGAAGGAAATTTTTTTTTTTCCCGTTGTGCTAGGAATTGAAGGCTTTCTGCTGCTACAGCAACAGCTGATGTTAAACTTCAGTAGATACTTTGCTTTATTCCTGCAGCAAGAGTAGTGGCTTTGAATAGCAGGGGTGGGTGTGTGTGGCTGTTTTGTTCTGGGTTTGTTTTTTTAAATTTTTTATTTTAAGGTGAAGTCCCAAGCAAGCGTAACTGCTAGTGAGCAGGTCATCTTGAGTACAAATAATGTAATAATCCCTGTATTGTTCAGCAGCACGTATTCTGTACTTAAACTTTTTGTAGAAAATAGAGTTAACTGGTATTTTTTCTTTTCTTTTTGTAGAAGCTCTCCAAATTAGCTCTCATTTCTCCAACCTATAATAGGTTGTAACAGTTTTACCTGTTAAAATTGGGACCGCATCCGTCTCATATGTTATCCTGTTTAGGGTCAGAGTTGGAAACTAATGCCTGACACTGTTGTAAAAACAAAAAAATCCAGTCATCAACAGGACACGGATTTCACTTTTTAATGTGCTCCAGCCCTGAAATAGTAAATCCAAGAATGGTCAGTAGTCCAACACTGAAAAGTAGCCTGTATCACTTGTAATCCCTGCTTCTGCCTGGTTCAAGTTTGGAGGAAGAAGATAGCATTTTTGTGGTAAGCTGGGCTCTTTGTTATTAAAGGAGGTGGTTGTTTTGAAGTTGCTCAGAGGTTAGGAATGCTGGCAATCATCTGGGGAGACAGATTAGTGGGCTGAGCGCAGGTGAGGAGGTCACAGGCACAGAACAGCCACTTCTGTGCCATTGCCCTGCTGGTGGTTCAGCCAAAGGAAGCTGCTTCAGAAATGAGCTGTGTTGAGGAGGACCATCGTACTTCTTCTGCGACATTACTACCTGATCATCAAAAACTTGCATGTTGTGAGAGTTAACTCTCTGTGTTGTTGTTAACTTAAGGGGAAAAAAACCAGTCTTGTCAACAAATCTTCCCATGTGAATTATTTGGTAAAGCTTTTGCAAGTGTGCCTTGAAGTAATTCAGTATTAGTACACTAACACAGAGAGAGAGAGGGGGAGAGAACAGTTACCTGGGTGCTTTCAGGGAATATGTGGATAACTAGGGCATGTGTTTCATTTTACCTGCAGTGCAATAAACTGCACTCGCCAACCTAATTCTCTGAGTCTTTATGGGATGCAGCTTTTGTTTTGAGTTTGGTTTGCCAGTACTGCAAGAGACGGTCTTAAATGTGTAAACACACATGTAATTTTAATTGCCACCTTAAACTGAAATTTTGGGATAAAGGTTGTCTTGGGCTTTAACGTACAGTGCTGCTATTCTACAGCGCTATGTTTCAGGTGAGGAAGAATTTAAATTCTAAATCTGAATCCCCAAGTTGTTTTCATAGGACTGTCAAAGAAATTTATCAGTGAATTGTGAAGGTGAGCAGGGTGCGGTGTTGGAGACTGGTGATGAAAGACATCTCTTGTGGACCCATACTCTACAAGGAAAAAATATTTGTTGCCAGCCTTCAAAATCATCCATCAAAACTTAAAATCTAGGTGAATGTAGGTGACGGTGATCCTGTTGATAAGAGAAAAGGAATAATACCTGGCTTTGGCTGCCACAGGTGGCTTGTGCATTCAAAAAGAGTAGACACTGCGCTGACTCTGCTCACGAGGTGAACTAGAGAAGGTGCCATCTCCACACAGTCGCTGTCTTGGCTGTGAATACACTTCCAGGAACCAGCTGGGAGCCTCTCGTGTTTCAGTGATTTTAAGGACTTCCAGTCCTGTGCCTCACCAGTCTAAATAACGCAGTAGGGCCTGTGCAGTTGGTATGGCTCTGAACGATCTGGGAGGAGAGACAAGAGGCGAGTGTGAAGTTAAACACGACAAACTTGTCCAAGGAGTATCTTTATTTCACAGCAGCTTTTCCTTCAGGATGACCTTCCAGATGCCTTGTGATGTCCTCAGTGTTAGTATAGCCAGTGTAAATAAGTTATAGGAGAATGCAGAAATGGTCTTTCTGAAGTCTTCAAACGATTTTTTTCCAGCCCAAAGGACTATATAGGATCACAGAATAATTTAGGCTGGAAGGGACCTCTGGAGGCCAGCTAATCCAACACCCTGCTCCAAGCAGGCTCAGTTAGATCAGGTTGCTTAGCATTTTTTTTTTTTTTAGTGTCCTTTGAGTTGTGTAACTTAATATCACTTAATTGAAGTCTGCCAATAATATGCTTTGAAAGCTGACTTGAAAATGAGACCTTGCAAGAAATAACAATGTAATTATAAGCTTGTTTTTACTAACACTTTTTTTTTCCCCCAACCTTTATTAGGTAGAGGTATTGTCTTTCTCAAACATTACTATGCAGGGTTAATTTGTCAGAGATAAAATTTTCTTAGTGTCAGTTCTGTAATTGTACTTCTGTATTTTACTGCTCGTCTTCAACAGTAGAATAAACTGAATGTCTGTTAGTTTATCTGAAAAGTGTTAGCATGCTCAAACTCCTGGTGAAATAATTTTCCAGCTAGGGCATGCTTCATATTTAAAATATGCACAGTATTTTTAATGTGAAATGCAGTGATGCGTTTTGTACATTAACAACTTCACGACTAAGTATTTTTTATGCAAAGTGCAACATGAGCTTTGTATATGCAGTAACTTGTCATATTACTTGGCTGATTGAAAGCTGATCACTTTGCACATGCCCTTGAGATACCACTATGGAGGCAGAAGTATTTAAAAAAAATTCCTTAAACAGTAGCCCCTCCAAAGGCTGCTTTCCTACGGATCTTCCTCTCAAGGGCAGGAGTGTGTGTGTGTGTGAGTCTGCGTCCATTCTGTGATGCTTAGCATATGGACTAGGCTGCAGAGCAGTTTCTTTCTCCCTGCTTCTCTTTCTAGTAGGCTGCTTGCTTACACAGAACTTTTTGGGTACTTGGAGTTTTTAGCACTTTCTATTGCTGTCAAATTCAGCTGAAAAGAAGTAAAATATTCCAAAGACAAAAGTGCTGTACTGAGAGATGCATAGTAACATACATTCCTTACTAAAAAAGGCTAGGCTAAAAACGCATATCCAACCACTCTCTCACACCCTGCTTTCATGTTTGTACCTAACGTCTGCTATCAGTTAAGGCTGTGTATTGGATATTAAAATACTCCCCAATTCAGACTTTTAGGTTAGGAATGTGTATACACTCCTTGCCCACTTGAGATATATGTGTAAAATTACAATCCAACTCTGAAAATATGGTCTCACATCTAAGATGGTATATCAGGCCTGCAGCTGGAAGTAATTGCATTCTGCACAGCTGGCAACAGGAGTTGAGAATCAGAAGCCCTTTTCCCTCAAAATATGGAAGAAATATGGGTAGTCATTGAAAACAACTGATTTATTCTGAATGATGTGCTGATGGACATAAAATGAAACAACGGTTAGAGTAAGCAGGAAGAATTCGTTTGATTTTTTCCATATTATTGGGAGTGTGGTTTCACTGAACCAGATTTAAGAGGAAAATGCCCTGTAGATTGAATTATTCTGTTTGATTGATAACATTGGTACTGTTCTCTTTCAGATGAAGTGGACTACAGTAATTTTGGGACCAACACACTGTCGAGGAAGAAGAAGGCTCTGGTGACACTCCGCAATGACAACCTCCGCCGGCGTCCCCACATTAACATTAGCATGCCTCATGATTTTAGACCAGTGTCTTCCATAATCGATGTGGACATTCTTCCTGAAACACACAGGAGAGTGAGGCTGTATCGACACGGGTGTGAGAAACCCTTAGGATTTTACATTCGCGACGGCACCAGCGTAAGGGTTACTCCTCATGGACTGGAAAAAGTACCTGGTATCTTCATCTCTCGTATGGTGCCTGGAGGCTTAGCGGAGAGCACGGGCTTGCTGGCTGTGAACGATGAAGTCCTGGAAGTTAATGGCATTGAAGTAGCAGGAAAGACTCTCGACCAAGTCACAGACATGATGATTGCCAACAGCCATAATCTTATTATCACGGTCAAGCCAGCAAACCAGAGGAACAATATTATTCGAAGCAGTAGGATGTCTGGTAGCTCTGGCCAGTCTACAGACAGCACTGCTAGTCACCATAGCTTGCCTACGTCCCACGTGCTGCAGAACTTCCACCCTGATGAAATGGAGAGTGACGAAGAGGCTGACATTGTCATCGAGGGCGGTCTGGAGCCACAGCACATTCCTAAACTGCACAGCCTTACTTCCAGTAGCCTCTCGCGAATCAATGGCAGCAGCCTTAGCCACAGACTTCAAAGGGACCTGGTGCTCAACAACAGCTCTGGCCGAGAAAGCAACGGCAACATCCACAAATTACTCAGCTCCTTAAAAACTGATCCCCGACACAGTCTGGTTATCCCCAGAGGAGGTATCGAGGAGGATGGAACAGTCATTACACTTTAGTAGCAATTCCCGCAACTCTCCTTTCAGTCTTAAGTGCCAATTGGGACAATTGACTTTTGCAACATGTTGTGCACAAAACAGAGAGCTGATATTCTCATAGACCTCACGGGTGCAGAAAACTGTTGCTTTCTAGGAAACGTGGCATCTGGAGTTAGACATAAAACTGTCACGCAGTGCGAAATTTGTCAGGAGAAGGCCAGAGTGTAAAACCTGGTTTACGTCCTAGCCCTGAAGTGCGAACACAAATTTGTTTTGGTGGGTGTAAATCTAAGCAGTCTTACAGGCTACCAATGGCAGTGCTACATGCTTGGGTTTGAATGCATGGGTGGATGTATTTATACATGCATGTATATGAATTAGATTTTAATAGTAACAGACGTGTCTATCTGAAGTGGAATCTGGTTTTCTTCTAATACCAGTTTAAAGAGAGTGCTTCTTAATAGCCATCCGGTCTTTTACCGTTACACGCAGACCTTCCACTAACTTGTTTACACCGTATTTGCAACCTTCTGTCTAATCCAGACAAGCTCTATAAAAGTAGTGGTTTCCTACTCTGGTGGTAGCAACGTTAGGGAGATGCTGCAAATACATTTTCCAAATGAAACGAGATTTTTTTTTTTTTTTAAAAAAAAAAAAG